TCGATGTCGGTCAGTAGTACGACGGCGGCGTATGGACCGCCCGCTGCCAGCCAGCTGGCGCCCTCCAAGTTGTGGTAGCCAGTCGCCGCCAGGGTACTCACAGCAAAACGTGGCGACTTGTGCCTGAGGTGTTCCCTCGCATTCGGGGCTTCCCCAGGACTTGCGTTCTAACCAAGGCAAAACTTGGCGACGCTGCCTGAGGTCTTCCCTCGCATTCGGGGCTTCCTCAGGACTTGAACCATGGCGCCGTAGTGCCTTGTCCAGGGCGCTGGATAATCATAGAAGTAAATGCCAGGGTTGAAAGAAAGTCAATAAATCCAGAAAGTGCTCGAGGGGGGGCACGCTCCGTCGCCATTGAGGGATCGTGCCCACCCGTATGGGCGCCACGGGTCCCCCCCCCTCGAGCATGGCACGCAATGGCTGTCCAAGATGCAGCCGTGCCGATAACCCAGTAGTAATGCGGGTCTTGAATACATACAATAGGTGCGCTGATGCTGACGCGCCTGCTGCCACTCTGAAATATTACCCGACTGTACACCATTCTGTAGTACCAACTGCCCTCCAATCTGTAAGATGCCAATAGTCTGCGCCAAACTGCAATCTGGTGGTCCCTTCCAGGGACTGGCAAGTATGAATAATCCTGAAACAATTGAACTCGAATATCTGTGCAGGCAAACGTAGTGCCGCTGCAGTGTCAGCTGCTAGCGCCGTTGGTTACCCCATGCCCTGTGACAGTCGTGGCCCAGCTGCTCTGGCTCGATGTAGTAATCCAGGGGGGCGTAGAACCTGTGATAGCATTCATCCGTTTCGGCCCACATTGCCTCTTCGTCAGCAAGCTGTCCCCAGTGGGCTGCGAATGCAGTAGCCATTGCCTTGCACAGCATTGAAGGGTATTCTTTGAGGGGGGCGGTCCTCCAGCCGCCTTGGCCGTCTCGTCCGTAAGCTCTGTCATGTCCGTTATGTCGGCATAGCTGCCCCCAGGTACCGCCCCCAGCTCCTGTGTAAGTTCACTGAGGTGTACCGCCATCAGGCATGTTGGCTTTCGCGCGGCCTGCCCAAACTGGCACTGGTCTATGTAGTGCAGTTCGACGCTCGTCTGCTCCAAAAGCCAGAGCGTCTCTGCTCGCTGCCAGCTGCTAGGCGCTTGAGGGCACCAGGTGGCTGGAGCGGGATGCTCGAGTACGGCAGATACATTGTACTGCAAGCCAGTGGTGATGAGTAGTAGAGCTGTCCTGTATAGCTCGTTGGCTAGTGCTATCTGTTGACGCTCCGCTTGATTGGCTGCTTGTATGCCCCAGGGGAAGTCGTGTGTACGTAGTGGCCGTGGAGCTTTCCCCTCGGCGGCATGCCAGCGCGATGAACACCACGTCTCGCAGGGGGGGCCCGCAACAATGCCAGACATTTTGCCCTGTCGTATCGCCGCGCACCAAAACTCGACGACTTCTGGCTTCGTCAGATCTCCGTTGTCGGGGTCTATCTGCACGTCGATCGATAATACTACCAAATTGCATTCCCGAGTGTTCATCTCGAAGTGGTGCTGGAAATCCTCGGTTCGGCGTCTGCCTGAGAAAAGGTGCAGCAAGAACATAGCCGTAGTAACCATGGGCCTGCACGGTGCGAATGCACTTGCAGGTGGCGTCGCTGGTTGAGGGTTCGCTGCTGCAGGCGGCGCCGGCGAGAGCTGGAGCTGATGCTGTTCGATGTAGTCGGCAAGCTTGATGTGTATGACCTGTTGGGCGGGCACCAGCGCCTTTGTAGCTCCATGCCCCATTGCCTTCCTCGTCGCCACAGCCTCTCGTTCCTCTTCTCGGCGTTCGGCTGCCTCCTGCAAATCCATTGGGACTTCAATTGCTTGGAGTACAGCCAGGCACCTGGGGCACCTTCTCAGGTGCTTGAGTATGCGCGATCGCGTTACGAAGTTCTTCCCGCACCCAGGGCAGGTTGTCGAACGGGCGAGCAATTCGGGGAGGTCGTAGCCGATGTGCTCCATGGTGCGATGGCGCTTCCATGCTCCCCGAGTTTTTAGGATCTTGCCACGCTCATAACATATGTAGCCACTGTGTTGTGCAGGCGGCAGTCCATCGAAGTTGGGCGTGGTCAGTCCAAACTCTTGCGCTGGACGGTGTAACTGCTTTTGCCATATTCGATGTCGGTATAAGTCGTGCTGCCATGCCTTGTACCTGAGCCACGCACGCGTGATCATGGCTTGTGCGGCCTGCACTTGCTGTGTTCGTAACCATCGTACCAAGCCCCTGATGTCGCAGCCAATGTCCTCGTCGTCTAGTAGGAATCTTCTTATCCAGTCCAGATCCTCGACGATAAGTGCATCCCAGGCTTTATCATCCCCCCAGAGCTCGTCGATGAGGCGGTGGAGGAAGGGCGTGTCTGCATGCGCCATTCTGGCCAAGTACATCAGGCGCCGTCGGCGCAGGTACATGTGGATCGGTACTTCATCACATATCAAGTATATTTCGTCGTCCAAAGTATGTACGTACCCCGC